TGTGTGTGTGTGTGTGTATATATATATATATATTTGTTTGACTGTGATCCTTTTACACATACACAACAAAGCCCAAGGCCAGATTATTAGAAAAATTATTCTAATTTATACTTAGTTGTCTATATATAATTACTAATATATACCATACTGGAGTGAAAGCTTAAATCAGCTGAAAACCATGGAAGGCTAAGGTGAAAATCATCCTTAGTTAATGCAGTGAGATACCTGTAAAGTTAAATCTCTTAGTTTGGAATTGAAGATTAGATAGAAGTTTAGATAATATAATTGATAATGCATTTGCACAATTAGTATAAATTATGGATTTGAGTTCCAATAAAATTACATTAGCTTTTTAACTTCAGCAGGACAGTATGGTCATCAAAACATTTTCAACTCTTAAAGGCTATCTTCACTGGTTTTCTGAAAAGAAGAACAAAATGAAAAAAGAACATTCAAATATGTAGCATTTATGTTCCAAATTCAGTTATATTTCCCAGTTTTTAAATAAAGAATATTCCAGTGCAGGAATAGTTTTTAAAAATGAAGGCAAACAATTGCTGGAATTACATCAGACTATATTAATGCTACTTTGCTAATTAAAGCTATCAAGCAATTTGGCCTAGAGGTAGGTGGTAGATGTCCCCTCTTGATAAATTTAATAATTAGTTTAGAAGGTTCTGAAAGAAAGAATTGACCTGAAGTTCAGATGGAGGTCAAAGTTGTAACTGGCAACACATCTGTACGGCAAATGGGAGTTGTTAGTTTGAGTGTCACTTCAGACTGCTTCTTTCTTCCAGAACCTTCTTAACTGATTATTAAATATTAATTTAATTATAATTATTAAATGTATTAAGAGAGGGCACCTAGCACCTACCTTGAGACCAAATTACTTGATATTTAATTAGTAATTAGTAGGATTAATATAACTCAATATAATCCAGCAATCATTTGGTTTTAATTTAAAAATAAGGTTATAGATATTTGTATTTTTTAAAGCTTATATTTAAAAAAAAAAATATGATGATTGTCTAAATTTCAAAGTGACATATAGTTTCAAATAGTTTAAAATGACCTTTTAATTAAAAAAATCTAGTTTTATAACTTAACCCAAGTTAGTAGCAAATAAGCTAAAATATGATCACTGCACAGCTTGTAAACTGTCCATTACATCTCAAAAAAGACTTTCCTTGCAGTAGAGATGCGGTCTCGATCCTTGAAGTCAATTCAATTAGTCATTCACTTAGAAAGATGGTTGTGATTGATAAATTTCAAGCTGTTCCAATGATTTCAGTTCTACAAACAAAGGATAGAAATAAATGTAAATAAAAATATCAGTAAAGATGGAGAAATAATAGCAAGGTTATGGCCGAAGTTTTCAATGTGAAAACGTGAATGTCGGGTGTTCAGTGTTGCCTTCCTGTAAGCCTAGAAGTTTGACAATGGCGTTTGAAATGTCAGTGGAATCATGCTCGACATTCCAAACACCATTGTCAAATTTCTAGGCTTACAGGAAGGCGGCGCTGAATGTCACACATTGAACATGTTTTTGCATTGAAAACTTCAGTCACAACCTTGCTAATGTAATAAAAATTTTTGATAGAATATTTATAAACTTGAAGATGGTTTTTTTTATTAAACTGAAAATATTAGTTATTAAAAATGTTCTTTGCTGCTTAAAAAGGTTTGAATGACTTAGTTACTATTTTGACAGTTACTTTTTATATTAACCCAGCTTTTTTAACTACTACAATTTCAGAATCTGTGATATATGTAGCTAGGGCTGTAGGGTGTGGACCTTATATCTGCTTCAGGCTCTTTTAAACATGTCAGGCTCTTTTACATAGCCCCCTTTGTATTCTTGCCATATGTGGAATCTCTTATCCTATAGGTAGATCTTATATATTCCAGGAATTCTAAGCTAGCATTGTGAATCTTTCTCTTTGTATAAGAGCTGGTTTACTGTTAGGTTCTAAAGAGCTGTAGATAAATGGACAATGAGGTGGCTGAGCCCCCTCAGTTTAGTTGGCAGTACTCATATGCAGTATATATATTTTTGGTTTTGTTATGTAAATTTAGGCTGCTGTTATGTTTTTACACTTGAGAGTTGAAGGTCTAGTGCTGGATGGAAAAAAGAAAAATACTAGTCAGAATTTTTTCATTGTGTTCATATAGGGGCTGTTTAAGTACAGTAATACCCCGAACTTACGCGATAGGTGGGACCGAGCGATAACCACGTAAGTCGAATTCGCGTAAGTCGGGGTATAATTTTGCATATAAATACGTACAAATAACACAAAATAAATTGCAACTATATGTCGAACACATCCGAACATGTAAGCCGAACAATAGTGTGGGGGGAAATGAGTAATTAAGAGTTGCGTGGCGCTCAAACAAAAGACGAATCGACGAGATTTGAAAATCACGTAACTCCGGATTCGCGTAAGTCGGGGTAGCGTAAGTCGGGGTATTACTGTATTATATCAGCAAAAATTTGTCTTTTTTTTATCTTCTCTGTCCTATCATCACCAGTCATTAGAAACCAAAATACTCCTCTAAGTATATCACCAGGCCAGAAGTTAAAACTATTTTGCAAATACACAAAATTATTTTCAGACAATTCTGTTATAACTGGAGAGAAAAATGATAGGTGCAATCTTATATCATTAAAGGCTCACCCTCCCTCATGACCTAAATGAGTCCTTCCTTCCCCATAAACTATTGATGTAATACCTGAATGATCTTTAGCCCCAGTGATTTATTTTTAGCTGTAAGACTAAATTGCTGTTCTAGTCTCATATACTTTATGTTGTATTTTCAAGATTGTACTGTATTGTTTTAATTTGTGATGATATGTAATTTCGTCTATTTTGTTGTTGTTTGTTTATTTCACAACTTTGAATTTAAAATAATTCAACATCTTTAAAGTTACACCTGAAGACATTCTTAAATTTATTGTTTTAAAGTGTTTGTTTTGTTAGTCAAATTTTATTTCATTTTAATGTTTAATGCCTAAATATGTTGTTAATGGTATTTTCAATTATATTATATATATATATATATATATATATATTATTATTATTATTTGCATTTACATTATGGTAATACATACACATATTTTTAATTTTTAGACAGAAACTACCAAATTTATTCTTCAGTATCTTTGTACTGTTACAACAAATGTTTCCACCTGGATAGAAGAACAAATATTAGAAGCTAATACTATTTTGGAAGCTTTTGGTATGTTTTCTTACTTTTTATTTTATACTTGTGAAAATAATTGGCTATTGCTACATAAATTCCTCATCAAACTAAATATTTAACATAAATTGAATATTTAAAAATAAATTTAAAATAATGTTTGGAGACTATTAGTATATCGATTAAATAGCTTGAAACTGATATAAATATCAAATTTACTATTAATGAAATTTAAATATTATTTCAACATTTAAATATAGTATTATTTTAATTACTGAATATGCAAATTCATGCATTCTATGAAATTTGTGAAGTATAGAAAGTAAAAAAATGATTAGGGATTATTCCATGCAAAATACTACAAAGCTATAATTGTAGTATTTTGCATTCTTCTGTCCATGCTTGGCAGGAGAATTCTTCTGCTAAGCATGGACAGAAGAATTCCCCTGCCAAGCATTGAAGAATTGAGAAGAGCACGGATTTCAAGTAATTTAAGAAGAGTAGCTAATGTTTCTACAAATTAAGTAGCTTATACTGCCCATGGAGGCATGGTTAATGTGTGATAATACATTTTAAATAACAGGCTTGTTAGATTGTTATTTCCAATTGGATAATAGAACATTATGTGATCACTATAAAAAACTTTTTTTGAAATTGTTATAGAAGCGACACAATGTGGCTATCTTTCTTAAAATTTAAATTTTAAACTGAATGAAGTAACTTTAAAATATGTCATTTGCCAAAATATTTAAAAACACAACTTAAGAGAAATTCTGTTGTCAAGCATGAACTAAATGAGGTCACTGACATCACTGCAATGCAAGTTCAATCATTGATCTGAAATCAATAAAACATTTATTCTATAGCTAATATTTCTGCAAAATAAATAGCCTATACTTTCTGACAGAATGTAAAACAAATATAACCAAAATTTCATCGGGATTGGACAAAAATTGCAGGAGTTATAAGGAATTCACACACACAGAGATGACAGTTTTTATATTATTATTATTATTATTATTCATTACATAGAAGTTCTAACAAAAAGGATATTTAAAGGACTAATTTAAAGGAAAATTTGAAACTTTTTTATTATAATTTTATTATTTATTTAATATTATATTATATTTAATAAGTTTCTAATGTCAACTAGAGAGCTTTGCTTCCCACTTGCTTTGCTCACTTGCTCTGTGAGTTATGTCCCTTTATTCTTAACATAAACTATTCATAACAAAAATTTTCTATTGCTTGGTTTTTGGTGCTGCTGTTTCCATTTTTTTTCCACAAAAAAGTTTTCTGATGGAAAAAGTGTTATGATGATTTTAAGCTAAGTATATATAAGTATTTTATATATATAGAGTACATTTATTATTTACTTACTTGACATTTTATTATGTTTATTCTAGAATTGCATTTTATAAGATAGTTTTTATATTATTAATTTGATTTATCAGTGTTTATCTATTTTATGATTTATTGATATCTATTGGAATTAATTATTCTATAGTTTTTTCATTGTAAGTTCTTAAACAGTATTTTATATTCATTAATCATTAATAACAGATTTAAAATTCTTTATTTTTGCAGTCAAAATATTATTTGATAAAATTTTATGTTTTGTTTTTTAATAAATCCACAAATTATAAGATTTTATTATATATATTCTCTGGATACATATTCAGAAAAATGACTTTATGAAATTCATTATAAAAGTTATATTCTTTCATAGCCATTCAAGAAAGTAAATAAGTCAGCTTATTGAAATATTTACTAAAGACAAACATTGGTTTGTCTTTGGTAAAAAGAGAAACATTGATTTAATTTCTAATTGTTTTCAATTTATGGGAAATCATCTGTAGGATACAAAATACAAAGTTTAATTAATAAAAATATTAGGTATTAACTGATGTATTTCAAACAATCTATGCCCATTAGCTGGAAAATTAATAATTTATATATATGATGAGATGATACTTTTTACGTAAAGAGGAAGGATATAATACAATATCAATATAAATTTAATTCATTTTTTTGTTATAATGTTGTTATAACTGTAACATATTGATATATATTAAAATATATTTCTTTATTAATATTTTAATATATTTATCATGTACAGGAAATGGAAAAACTGTTCGAAATGATAATTCTAGCAGGTTTGGAAAATTCATTCAAGTGTGTTTTGATTCAAGATATCAAATTAAAGGATGTATTATACAAGATTATCTACTGGAACAGTCAAGAATTACTTTTCAGTCTGTAGGTGAAAGGAATTATCATGTATTTTATCAATTAGTGGCTGGAGCACAACGTAATAAAGAATTAAGGGATCAGTTTATGATTGGTCCAGCAGAATCATATAATTATCTAAACCAAAGTGGTTGTACTAAAATTGAAGGTGTCAATGATGCTCATATGTTTGATGCCTTACGTCTTGCTATGTCAGTTCTAAACATGCCTTCTGACATGTGTGATGGTATATTTGGTGTTTTGAGTGCCATTTTATGGCTAGGAAATTTACAGTTTGAAGATGTGGATGAAGAAAACTGCCAGTTGACATCAAATGATGAAGAAATCATAATGACTGTAGCTACTCTTTTAGGGCTGGATCCTGAAGGACTTACTCAAGTGGCATTACAGCGTCAAATAAATGTCAGAGGAAATGTTACTGAAATACCATTAAAGTTACATGAAGTAAGTACATTCTTATTTCATTTTTCATAAACATCAAAATATAAAAAAAATAGAGATATAGTTGAATATTTGTAAGATAGAACATAGGAATATTTCTTGAAATTTCAGTGTAAAAATATGTTAATTTTCTTAAGTAAATTAATATATACAGTCGGTCAACTGTATATATTAATGTGGTAGATATGTTTCACTTTATAAGAATTTTGCGTTGTAGGAATCCTTAAATACATGAGCCAATCACAGCTCGGCATGTGTGCAGTTTACGGACTACGGCTGTTTGAAAGGTTTTCTTCCATAAAATTAATTGATTCGAGACCAATTTGACTCAACATTTCCAAAACACGTATAATTTTTTTGGGAATAATCCGTATAAACTATGCTATAAACAAAAAATTATAGGATTACTTACCGAGTGTACGCCATTTGATGATGCCATTGCTTAAGCTTGTTTTCGTCACAGAGCAGTACATCGAACGGCGGGTTATTTTTCTGCGAAAAATTCACTGAACTTTGGAGACATCATTAATAGAAATAATTTTTGTGGCCGTTGAATAAGAAATGTTTTTTTCACAAGAAATGTATAAAATTACAGTACTGTATTAGACTTATAGTACCTAATCAGGTCAGTCCATAAGTTCATGCGTATTTTATGACCTTGAGAAAAATCTTGTTTTGCTGTTAAAAATGCCAGTCTAATGTGATACTTTTTACACTGAAGTGTTAAATTGGATCTCATTCATATAATATTGTTCAGAATTGGGAACATTTCAGTTGTTTATTTTTGTTAAAATGGAAGTAANTGAGATATAATATTATATAAGATTTTATATATTAAAAATTTGCTAGTATTATCAGGTTTTACTTTATATTATAATAAACAAACTATACTCAAAATTACAGATATGGGATGCCATTCAGCAAAAAAAAAGTACGTAGCACTTTAGCTCAACACTGTAAGGTTGGCTGAATGTGTGCTTAGATTGAATTAAATATTTGTTTTAGATTTGTTTGATAAACTAATTATATGTTATTAATAAATACAAAAATGCTTGACTAAAACCAAATGAACTGCTGAATTATCAGGCTATAATATGGCTTTGTAATTAATTAAATACTAAATAATTTATCCAGAGGTAGTGTGGGACTTGGGGACATCAAAATTGAGATCTGAAAGTTTTATGTAGGGAACCTCCATCAGGTTTGTATTATCAGACACACTTCCAATTTAGACTCTAGATAAGGCTGAGATACATAACGTGTGAGGGTAAGAGTCACTTTGAAGTCCAGGAATAAGCCTCTCAGGAGGATGAATGTAAAATCAACTAAACGAACTTAAGAACAAAAAAGAATCATTACAAAAACTAAACATAATATTAAAATTAAGTCTAAACATGTCAATAACAATATACCTATATCTGGATAGACAAAGTCTATCCTTGAAAGCTATTTGTATACTATTAAACCTGGGAATACCTAGTGGGAGGAAACCTAAACTTTGTGACTCACAACATACTAGGAAAAGAGTTGTTGTTTTCTCTTCGGTTCCTTTTTCTTTTCTTTCTTTTGCACCTTATCTCTCTCATTGCACTGACTCTATCTCCTCCAGATTTGATATTCCTCTGGTGTGACTCTTTACTGTTGTGTTCACTCTCTTCTCTCTGAGTTAACTCTCTTTCTAGATGTTGTGTTCACTCTTCTCTTCTCTCCTCTCTCTCTTTCTTTCTCTCTTTCTCCTGTTTTTTTTCCTTTGTGTTTTTTGTCATTCCCTTTTGTTTTATTCTTATTTCTGACCAATCATGATTTTATTCTGGAGGAAGTTGATGTAATGAAAGATTAGCTTGATTGGTTATTTTTAGTTTTTCTTACTTGTTTAGTATGAATTATGTATGTCCACGTGATTTGGATAAAGTAATAACTGTATTTAACACTAGTTGAAAAGGGAAAAATGAAGCTCATTTCCTTCATCTTTTTCTCTGAATGTTATGAGATTAATAACAATTAATTGATAATTTTTTTATTATAATTTGTTTCTCTTGATTATTTTTAATCTGTATTGCTACAAATTTAGAAGGGAGGGTCCCTAAAATCAAGAAAATAGGCAAAATTTTTTTACAACACTGCTTGATAACATAAACATTAGGGTGTCTTATCTGATAGCTAATAATTGTTTGATGAACAAACAGACTGGACAAAAAAAAAAGGAATATAAAATACATATATAGTTTAAAATACAATAAAATTTCAACTTATTATTTAAAGATATTATATTATTTGCTTAAAATAAGTTCATTAAAATTAAATTGTACCAATAGTGCTAATAATAATTTAATAATATTTATATATTCTTGTATATATTATATATATATATTTATATAATATTCTTTTATTAAGCAATTTATAAATTTATCTCATAACATTTATTATCAATAAATAATATTTTAATCCGTGAACNTTCTATATATTTATATAAAGAATATTTATATATTCTTGAATTATTATTATTAGCATTATTTTGAATATATTTGAAATATATATATTCAAAATTGGACCATAACAATGAAAATTTAGGGGAAATAGTGGGTCTCACAGTAAGCAGTTATGCTGCCATCTCATGCTAGTTGAGTCCTGCTCCAGGCCAATTCTTGTCTTTCAGAAATTCTAAATTAAATTAAATTATTACTGTTCTTAAATACATAATCATATTATAGCCTGATAATTCATTTGGCTTTAACTATAAATCAAGTTTTCAAGATGATGTGTGTGTGTGTGTGTATATATATATATATATTTGTTTGACTGTGATCCTTTTACACATACACAACAAAGCCCAAGGCCAGATTATTAGAAAAATTATTCTAATTTATACTTAGTTGTCTATATATAATTACTAATATATACCATACTGGAGTGAAAGCTTAAATCAGCTGAAAACCATGGAAGGCTAAGGTGAAAATCATCCTTAGTTAATGCAGTGAGATACCTGTAAAGTTAAATCTCTTAGTTTGGAATTGAAGATTAGATAGAAGTTTAGATAATATAATTGATAATGCATTTGCACAATTAGTATAAATTATGGATTTGAGTTCCAATAAAATTACATTAGCTTTTTAACTTCAGCAGGACAGTATGGTCATCAAAACATTTTCAACTCTTAAAGGCTATCTTCACTGGTTTTCTGAAAAGAAGAACAAAATGAAAAAAGAACATTCAAATATGTAGCATTTATGTTCCAAATTCAGTTATATTTCCCAGTTTTTAAATAAAGAATATTCCAGTGCAGGAATAGTTTTTAAAAATGAAGGCAAACAATTGCTGGAATTACATCAGACTATATTAATGCTACTTTGCTAATTAAAGCTATCAAGCAATTTGGCCTAGAGGTAGGTGGTAGATGTCCCCTCTTGATAAATTTAATAATTAGTTTAGAAGGTTCTGAAAGAAAGAATTGACCTGAAGTTCAGATGGAGGTCAAAGTTGTAACTGGCAACACATCTGTACGGCAAATGGGAGTTGTTAGTTTGAGTGTCACTTCAGACTGCTTCTTTCTTCCAGAACCTTCTTAACTGATTATTAAATATTAATTTAATTATAATTATTAAATGTATTAAGAGAGGGCACCTAGCACCTACCTTGAGACCAAATTACTTGATATTTAATTAGTAATTAGTAGGATTAATATAACTCAATATAATCCAGCAATCATTTGGTTTTAATTTAAAAATAAGGTTATAGATATTTGTATTTTTTAAAGCTTATATTTAAAAAAAAAAATATGATGATTGTCTAAATTTCAAAGTGACATATAGTTTCAAATAGTTTAAAATGACCTTTTAATTAAAAAAATCTAGTTTTATAACTTAACCCAAGTTAGTAGCAAATAAGCTAAAATATGATCACTGCACAGCTTGTAAACTGTCCATTACATCTCAAAAAAGACTTTCCTTGCAGTAGAGATGCGGTCTCGATCCTTGAAGTCAATTCAATTAGTCATTCACTTAGAAAGATGGTTGTGATTGATAAATTTCAAGCTGTTCCAATGATTTCAGTTCTACAAACAAAGGATAGAAATAAATGTAAATAAAAATATCAGTAAAGATGGAGAAATAATAGCAAGGTTATGGCCGAAGTTTTCAATGTGAAAACGTGAATGTCGGGTGTTCAGTGTTGCCTTCCTGTAAGCCTAGAAGTTTGACAATGGCGTTTGAAATGTCAGTGGAATCATGCTCGACATTCCAAACACCATTGTCAAATTTCTAGGCTTACAGGAAGGCGGCGCTGAATGTCACACATTGAACATGTTTTTGCATTGAAAACTTCAGTCACAACCTTGCTAATGTAATAAAAATTTTTGATAGAATATTTATAAACTTGAAGATGGTTTTTTTTATAAAACTGAAAATATTAGTTATTAAAAATGTTCTTTGCTGCTTAAAAAGGTTTGAATGACTTAGTTACTATTTTGACAGTTACTTTTTATATTAACCCAGCTTTTTTAACTACTACAATTTCAGAATCTGTGATATATGTAGCTAGGGCTGTAGGGTGTGGACCTTATATCTGCTTCAGGCTCTTTTAAACATGTCAGGCTCTTTTACATAGCCCCCTTTGTATTCTTGCCATATGTGGAATCTCTTATCCTATAGGTAGATCTTATATATTCCAGGAATTCTAAGCTAGCATTGTGAATCTTTCTCTTTGTATAAGAGCTGGTTTACTGTTAGGTTCTAAAGAGCTGTAGATAAATGGACAATGAGGTGGCTGAGCCCCCTCAGTTTAGTTGGCAGTACTCATATGCAGTATATATATTTTTGGTTTTGTTATGTAAATTTAGGCTGCTGTTATGTTTTTACACTTGAGAGTTGAAGGTCTAGTGCTGGATGGAAAAAAGAAAAATACTAGTCAGAATTTTTTCATTGTGTTCATATAGGGGCTGTTTAAGTACAGTAATACCCCGAACTTACGCGATAGGTGGGACCGAGCGATAACCACGTAAGTCGAAT